GGATTGTTGTTGGGGGCAATATGCTGACTCTGTAAACCGCTTAGAGAGGGCTGAAAGCCCTATGAAGCGGTATATAAGTCTAACTGCTATTGCTATCTGGTTTTGGTAGGCTTAGGGGAAATCTGGAAAACAATTTAGACTTTGGGTGGGAATTTTCTGCCCAATTTGGAAAGTTGCTTACTAAAGAGAGATGGCAGACTCAACTACCTTGGCATTAAGATGTGCCACCACCCAGCAGCATCTGCATTGGTGTCCATGAGGGCAGACTGACGACAGCAGGGTGCATTGTGGCAATGCAAGCCCTGCCCATTTTGTACGTGCCTCATTATGTTGCATTCAGATGCCCAAAGGGGAGTGTGCAGCCTAACTGTGATCTCCCCCCTCCCCTCATTTTGTTGAAAACAAAAAACTTCTGTTTCACAATCCTGGCATACAATTATTTCCTTCCATATTTATTGCTAACTCTGAATAGTCTCCCTGCTTATTCAGCTTTCTCTAATATGTTTGCTGGCCTTGAAACATCTAAAGTAGAACTAATAGCCTGGGAATGTTTCCAAAATAAGACATTCCATGAATATGAGGGAAAGGCTGGCTAGCCAGCTTACTAATACTAGAAAATCTAATTAAATTATGCCGATTTTCTTTTAAACGCTTAGTCAGTGCTAGCAGCCCTTTCCAACCCTGCAACAATGGCATGGCATCATCAGGTTTTGTAATTTTGTGCCGCCTGCTCTGGTTGATTGTGTGTCCCTTTAAGCATTGATATATGAATGCAGTGTTCCACAGATGATAAAGGCAGCAGAAATAAAATGAAGACATAATGCTTGTTCAGCTGCGTTTGCTGCATTACCCTGTGTTTTGATAAACTCACATATGACAGCATTTGGAAATTGTGTCCCACTTTCAGGCAATTGATGCTGTTTGCAGTTGAGTTGAGGAAACAAGTATATTGATCCCTGGCCTGGTGAATATTTGCAATAAGATTGCTAGAACTCTGGGGAAGCTTGTGCTGCTACTTAGAAGCATGAGATTTACTTAACTTTGCGTCTGTTTTCATAGGCAATAGATTGATGTACTGGTTCTCTCGCAGAATGACGCTTTGGGGAAGTATTTCCTTCAATCTGGCTGTCTTCATAAACATCATCATTGCTTTTTTCTACCCTTATGTTGAGGCTTCCTCAATGGGTAGGTATTCACTCTCGCTTGACTTTTTTTTTTACCTCTACTTTTGCCATTCATAGAGACACTGAACACTGATATCCTCTTAGACCAATTGTAATGTAGTCTTTCTTTTGACAATCATTATGCATTTCCCCCTGAACATAGTGGGGAATGCAACTCTTCAGAAGTAGCGTGTCTGCAAAATTAACATGTCTCCGGTTAGCCTGCTTCCTAGTAAGAGGTGCTGTTCCATTCAGATGTTATGCAGATTTCTAAAACAAAGGTGTCATTTTCACTTCAGGGGGTGCTTTGCTGGCAACAGTCAGTGAACTAAGGATGAAAACAGTATAAATATGTTAAGACAGGTGAATCAGGACATGGTCTATTTAATACAATTCAGTGATGCCATTGTACATGATTAGAGCTATACAGTAAGACATTGATATCTTTGTTGCCTATCAGGACTCCTAGTCATGCAGGTGCAGTTTACCTGCACAGTTCTGCTCAAGCCACTTCTTGCATTGGGTGCCTGATAACTGGCTGACTTCTCTGACAGTTAATGATCAGGAATAGCCACCATGTGCTGTTATTTTCAGCTATATGAGCGCTATGTTATTAATAAATACTATACATATTTGAGTTTGTCTCTTAATTTTCTAGGATTGCTGGATTCCCCATTGATTCCTTTGCTTTCCTGGCTTTTAATCTGCTTTTCCATCATGGCTCTGTTTACTCAGCGCTATGGCCTCCGACCACTCCTTGTGGCACTGATTTTGCGATGCATCTATCATCTAGGCATCGGCCTCACTCTGAACATACTGGGAGCTCTCAATGTAAGTCAATTGGTTACCCAAAAATCAACTTAGGTTGGGATGCTTATTTATGTTCAGAAGTTCTCTTGAACTGAGTAGGACGTATTGCTAGATAGAACATGATGTTATGGTATCTTAGATGGGAGATAAAGTTGTACCATACAGGTAGTCCTTGACTTATGACTATAATTGAGCCCCAAATTTCTTTTGCTAAGTGAGACAGTTTTAAAGAGAGTTTTGGCTCACTTTGCGACCTTGCTTGCCACATCCATTAAAGGCACGATTGCAATTTGTTAAATGAATCTGGCCTCCTCATTGACCTGGCTTGTCAGGTCATATGACCCTGGGATACAGCAATTGTCATAAATATAAACCAGTTGCCAAGCATCCAAATTTTGATCACATGACCATGGGGCTGCTACAAGAGTTGTAAAGTGTGAAAAATGGTCATAAGTCATTTTTTTTAGTGCTGTTGTAACTTTAAATAGTCACTAACTATTAACAACACTAAGTGTTGTTAAGTCAAGGACTACATTACCAGGGTATGTGTCAGGGATCAGTCATAGAATTAAGATGTTTCTTTGCGGACAAATGAAAAAGATTAAAAATACAAGTAGATTTATATTAGAATTAATTTTTAAAAAAGTCAAATAGTGCAGCATCACATTAACATAATATTTGCCCTCAACTATATCTATCTTTTGATTGTTTTGCAGCTGACAAATAAGATTGTATTTGTAGTAAGCTTTGTTGGCAATCGTGGGACATTCATCCGAGGATATAAAGCCATGATCATGGACATGGAATTTCTTTATCATGTCGCCTATATCTTGACCAGCGTCTTGGGGCTTTTTGTACATGAACTTTTCTACAGCATCCTGGTACAATAATCTTATCATCATAGTCATTAAGGAAAAAAAAAGATTTTGTTCCCCTTGCTTTTTCTTACTCTGCATTTTGTCTACTTTTGTGGGTGTCTGCAATTTTATAAGTTGCGTAAGAAGAAATATAATTTAGATTGGAGAATTTAGCAGACGGAAGCTAACATTTGTTCAGGATCTATGAAATTGTAAGATATTTTCAGAGTTACACAGTGTATTTATCAATATAATGGGAATGCTGATACTCACAATAATGTACTACAGCTACTCAATCGTAAGTTTATTTGTATGTTTATTTGTCAAATTTATATAGTGGCCATCTCACATGATGTGATCCTGGACACATGTACAATAAAGTCTACTATTAAAACTACAGACCCAATTAAAAACAATTAAATAAAAACATGGATTAAAAACAAGACCACAAGAAAGAAAAATATTGCAGGATTTTGTGAGAGAAAATATTACATATAATGCAACAAATACATGGGCTCCCTATTACCAGAGAATCCCCAGTCTTGCTGAAAAAAAGAAAATATTTTGAGTGTTTTTCAGAAGGTCAGCGGGATGAAGTTCTGGGAATAAAACTTACAGAAGTAGAACAATATTTTATAATCCTTGTTTTTTTGTTCTTTTGTATTGATTTGACCTAGGAAAATTTCTTTTTCAGCTATTTGACTTGATCTATCGTGAGGAGACTTTGTTCAATGTTATCAAAAGTGTGACACGGAATGGACGTTCAATTTTACTGACAGCTCTGCTGGCCCTCATCCTTGTCTACCTCTTCTCCATTGTCGGCTTCCTCTTTCTTAAAGATGACTTCATTCTGGAAGTAGACCCACTGCCCAACTTCAAATCCAAAGGTTTGTTCTCCTACTTAAGTAAAGTATCCCCCTTTCCAACCTGAAGTTCTGATCAACTTGAAGAGCACAGAATGTTTTACAGTTACCATGAATGATTCTTTCTGTTTTGGTATTTAGAGAGGTTATTTATTTATTTGTCCATCTATCTGTTTATGTATGAGATTTATCTGACTGCCTGAAGCCACCTGGACACTAGGTGGCTTAGAGAGATTTAGGTATTAAGAACAGATTAAAACCAGAAAATCTGAAAAGATTAAAAATACAAATATAAAAATTATCAGAATGTAAACGTGTCATCACTCTATTACAATCCATCTCCAAAAACCTGCTGGAAGAGGGTTCACTTGCCCCTAGAAGTCATGAGGAAGAGATCCCTATATATTTCATGGTGCAAGCTATTCCAGAGGGAAGGAGCTGCTACCGAGTTAGTTTGATGTCGATCTGTCTCCTACTTTACCTCCTGGTAGGAAGTAACCTTCAGGAGAGGTTTCCCAATTGTCCAAATATGATGGATTAATAGAGAAATGAGTTAATTCCTCCTATTTTGCGGGGTCAAAATATATTTCATTGTTTAGTATTTCTGGACTTCATCTAAGCTTGAGACATATTAGAAAATATATAGATACATGCTGTATATAGCCATCATCCCAGGGGTGAAATGCTACTGGTTTTACCGGTAGTAAAAAATACTAAAAAAGGGATGGGGAATATGTTCCGACGATCGTGGGTTGCACAGTTGAGCTTCGGAACTTTTTTACTTTTTAAGCATTTTTTTTTTACTAAAGGTTCTCTGGAAATGCGGGGGTGGAGCTGGGGTCTGGTTTTGCTCCCAGCAGCCTGCCAAGCCAAAAATGGGGGGGGGGGATCCGTTTTTGCTCCCAGCAGGCTTCCTTGAGGCCTGCTAGGCTAAAAAAGAGGGGTGGGGTGGAGGCTGAGAAAGAAAGAAACAATGAAAGAATGAAAGAAAGGAGAAAAAGAAAGAAAGAAAAAGAAACGGAGGGAGGGAAAAAGGAGAGGAAGGAAGGACTACAAACCTGGCACTAGAAGCAGCTTCAGAGGATAATCCAAGGCTGGAAGGGACCTGGATGTCATCTAGTCCAACCATGCTCAGCAGGACATTGTGAGTTTCTGTCTTTTGATCCCCCAGTTACATGACTATGTAGCCACCCAGTCACATGACCCCCACCAAGCCATGCCCACACAACTGGTAGTAAAAAAATTTAGATTTCGCCACTGCATCATACCATTCATTTTCAGGGCAAGCAACATGTAGAGCACAGAGTACAGAGGGGGATTAGAAATAGTAGTAAAAATCAGGGCATGAGAAAAAAAGAAGAATGGCAAAAATTTATTAACAGCAACAATGTTCCATACCTTTTTGATGCCATCTCGTATCGTTCCACACTATTCTATAAGCACACCACCCTTCCCTCTCTTTACAGTCTTACAAACAAAACTTGTTTCTATTCTATCCAAATCCATTTGTATGCTTTTACTAATGTATTTCTACTTCCATATAACAAAGTGGGCAGAAGCTTTTTCACTTATTTTGACAAGTATTGACTCCTTACACTAGACCATATGCTATCATTTTTCTTTCTACCAGGTTTTGCATGTCTTAATGTTTTTCCATCCTTTTTTCTCAACTTTAGTAAACATTCTGCTATAGTACACCAATTCATTGCTCTGCTTATTCACAATTTATGTGAAACTTGCAATAATTTGTTCCATTTTCTCAGTCGCATGTAATTCCTTTGGTCTTGGACACATTAATTTTCAAGTCCATGCTCCTCAATGCACCATACAGTTTTTAATTTTAATTTTAGGCAACAAAACAACTTCATCTGCATGCTCAAGTACACATACATTCCTGAAAAATTACAGCATCTTTTCCGATGTTAGCAAGAGACAAAGATTTGCCATCAATTCAACAGAACCTGTCTCTGAGGCAGGCTGTTTAAATGCAATCTTATTTATTGATAATTTCTCCCTTTTGTTTTAATTCTGCCAGTTACAAGATCAAAGTATGTGTAATGAGTTTAGGAGCAAGCGAAGAGACAACTCTCCCACAATATAATCTAATTCAGCAGATTAAGCAAAGGAGGGAGGAGAGGGAGCAGAGAAGGTATCCAACTCAAATTTCCACATGTTAAATAACACATAGATTCTCTGTATATATGCCACATCATAGTGGAACATTTCTACAGTTATAATGTCTGTATTTGTTATTTAACACTCACGAAGGATTTATGACTTCTACTTCACCAGCTTTTTTGTTTAGACATTAATCATTATAGCATTAATTTTAATTCCAGTCTTTGACATATCATTGGCATTCCCATGCAGATCTTTAAAATGCTGTCTCCAGCACTCCTAAACTAATTCTATTCCAAATTTGTCAATATTTTTATTTTTAATTTTATTGATTTTGCTGGAGGCTCCTTGTTATGCTCTCCTCCAAAATATTTTTTGATTTCTCTGAAAATCTTTCAGTATTTGCACTTGCTTCTTGCCAATGTAACTATTTCTTGTTGTATTTGTTGCACTTATTTTTTCCCCCTATGAATACGATATACAGTATCTTTCTCATCCTTATTTTCTGCAGCATTCATTTCCTTTTAAGGATTTCTTCTCATCCATGGCCTCCATATTTCTTGTTATCTCCACACATGTGCTACTTGGTAACATTGTTTTCACTGGTTTCTAAACAGCTTCCACATCTTATGCCCGCTTTCCCATTTATTCTGTTAGGTGATGCAAACAAGGATCCGGGTTGTTGTTGTTTTGTTTGGAAAAATATATTTTTTAATGTTGATTTTATTCATAAAAAGCATTCTGTTCTGAGATAACTATCAACTACCGTATTTTTTGGAGTATAATACGCACCGGAGTATAAGACGCACCAAGGTTTTGAAGAGGCATTTTTTTTTTAAAAAAAGTAGGTAGGTAGATAGAAGGATAGAGAAGGAGAAAGGGAGAAATACAGTAGATAGACAGGTAGATAGAGGGAGAGAGAAATACAGTAGGTAGGTAGGGAGAGAGAGAGAGTAGGTAGTTAAGTAGAGAGAGAGAGAGAGAGAGAGAGAGAGAGAGAGAGAAAGAGAGAGAAATAGAGTAGGGAGGGAGGGAGAGAGAGAGAGTAGATAGGTAGGTAGATGTTTCCAGGTGTATTTATCCATGTGCTGGAGAAGGAAATCACTGACAACCTGCAGCACCTAAGTCTTTGTTTCTGCTGGCACAGCACATGATCAATGTAATTCTCATCAATCACTTTAACTAAAGAGCTTTCCGAAATGGAAAAAAAAAGTTTTTGCACTCTGCAAACCTTCCCAAAACAGCCCGTTTTTCATGAAAACGGGCCCATTTTTTTCAAAAAAAAGGCATGAATAGCCTTAGGAGGGGGGGGGGGCTTGCAGAGTGCCCTTAGGAGGGGGGGCAAAAAAGAGCAAAAAATGGCCCATTTTTTGTGAAAACGGGCCCGTTTTTTGTCAAAAATATCGCATGCATAGCCTTATGGAGGCTTATAGAGTGCTGCTGGGGGCTGGGGGGGGGGGCAAAAAGCCCATTTTTTGCTCATTTCTGCCCTCCCCAGCCCCCAGGAAATCTTCCATAATGCTAGGCACGGCTGTTTTGGTGAAGGGGCGGAGCTTCAGGAGGAAAACAATGCTGTATTCAATGTATAAGACACACTCAGATTTTCAACCTCTTTTTTGAGGAAAAAAGCTGCGTCCTATACTCCGAAAAATACGGTAGTACATTTTATGCCATTTTATGCAACCTATATATTTTGTGTACATTTGTTTTTCTTTTTTCATTTAATAGACACCTGATTGTACTTTATAATTCTATCAAAAAAATAAAACTGACACTGCCAAATATCTAGAATGTTTGTCACAGAAAGCCACTTCCTGGATGTTTTAAAAAAGTATGAACAGAAATGGAATGTTTTGACAAATCCACTGTCTCTTGTACTTCCAGCTACAGATTCTATGACGATGCAGAGCAACTTAGGGACTTTCATGGAGACATGCAGCAATGATAAAATAAGCTGCTCTTCCTCCGATACACTGCCTGAAGTGTTGCAAGGTAAAGGGATGGTTAAAACATGCTCCTCAGATAGGGACCCTAATAAGAATAAAGAGAACTCTTGCATCTTTCACTGAGCATATTTGGCAGTGCGTCTTCAGCGAAATTATTCTGTGCCTTAGGTCAGAGGGAAAAGTTGCCTTTGATTTTTTATTTAAGATGGCAATACCACTTAGACTTATATACCACTTCACAGCTTTACAGCCCTCCCCAAGGGCTTTACAGAGTAAGCATAACAATCTGGCCCCTCAATTTACTGACCTCAGAAGAATATGAGGCTGAGTAAACTATGAGCCGGTGAGACTCAAACTGTCAAACTGTTGGCAGCTGGCAGTCAGCTGAATTAACCTCAGTACTGCATTCTAACTACTGTGCCACCATGGCTCTTAGGATGCAGGATTGTCTTTGTAGGCAGACATCCCAGCACCTTAAATCCAGAAAAGAAGATTCATCTGAATTAAAAGCAGCTCCATTATAATGGTGGTTACTGCTTGTTTTGGGGATCTCCTCCAATATGTTCCTTTATGTCTTTGAAACTGGAACCATTAGGCAGAGCAACCAAATTCCCCAAGCGATTTCCCCTGTTTGAGCAACTGGGAAAAGGTTAACTAAAGAGATTAGTCTGTTTATTTTCTGCTGTGTTGTTGCTTCTGTTCCAGAAGAAGAAGATAATACAGAACGAGCTTGTGACACGCTTCTCATGTGCATACTTACAGTCTTGAATCATGGCCTGAGAAATGGAGGTGGTGTGGGTGATATACTCAGGAAACCATCTAAAGATGTGAGTACATTTGAGACAGTCTATGTAAGAAATAACTGACCAAGCCTTGTATTCCTCTGAAGTCAGGAATGCTTCAGAATCTTTCAGATTGCATATAGAACTTTGAGGCTAACATATTGAATACTCTTCAAGGGTAAGCCCATGCAGAACAGGATGAAAATTTCTATTTTGTGTCTCCCACACAGATTTAAATGTTGCTCCTTTTCGTATTCAGTTGAACAGTTACTTATTTATTTAAAATATCATACAGTTGCCCATATCATGAGTGACTCTGTGTGCCCTACAAAGATGAAAGCAGAAACCATAACACAAATGTTACGGCACCCAAATTAAAGCAATAAAAGCATATTAACAGCAGCATTGCTTGCCTAAATGTTTGGCCCAAATGTCTATGGAAAGAGCTCGTCAGCATGTTGCAAAAGATTAACAGGACATTTAGTTCTCCTGGAGGATGCTATGTTATAGGGCAGGAAATGCCATTGAGAATGCACCATTCGGAATAAGATCTAATAAGATGGCATTGTTAGATGGAAGAGACCCTGAGCAAACCTTTTTTATTAGCTCTAGTGACCAAGCAGAAACATTGGGAGAGAAGTAGCCCCTCAGATAACCCCTCTATGTCATGTAGAGCTTTATAGTGATAAATAACATCATGACTCAAATAATTGCATTATGGACCAGCTGCAACTTTTGGATACTCTACAAGGGCAGTTCTGTGCAGAGCACATTACAGTAATCCAAACAGGAGATAACTGAGTCATCATGAACAAGGCCTCATGGTCTAAGACAGTGAAGGTGAACCTTTTTTGACTCGTGTGCCATAAGCGGGAGGAGCGCAGGGGGGTCGTGCGCGGGCATGCTGCACCCACAATGCAATGCGCAACTCCCCCACCATGCATACAATCATAACAGGCGCTCCCCCAATTTTTCCATGGTTTTTTCGCCCTCCCCAGGCTCCAGAGGCTTTATAGGAGCCTGGGGAGGGTGAAAACAGCTTCCCCCCCCCCCCCCCCCCCCCCCCC